TTCATTTTCAGAGAGCCAAAATGGTCTCAAAGACTAAGACTTTAAGTGCACATATGCAGCAGCCATACCCCGTGTGGCTCCTGGGTGCACAGCACCAGCCTGGTCCCAGGTGGCCAGCAGCACAGCCTGCCCTCCTGTGCCTTGCTGGAGCACTGCCCATTCACTTGCCCCTTTCCTGTGCACTCAGCACTCATCTGGGGGAGATGACCCGGCATCCTGCCTCACTCTCCCCTGCTCTACTCCCCTGACTTCTACCAACTCGAAGCCTCAGGACCCCACGTGCCATCATAGATATTATCTATGTTCTCTTAAATCAAGACTTCTAGATTGATCCACTTCCACCACCAAGTATGTTTTCTCTTGGATTCAAACACTAAAAACAAACAGGTCACATTAAGTCCACGACACTGTGTTGTGCTTTTAATCAGCAAGATACCATGAGCTTGGACGAGTCACTTATTTCCTCTGAGCCTCTGTCTTTGTGGTGTAAGTGGGCAGTGCCCGCCTCACTTTGAAGGTTCAAATGGGATAAGGCGCAGGAACATCACCTAACCCAGAGAGACACATCACAGCTGGTAAATAAGAACAGCCACCCCCACATCATCTTCCTTTATATTCCTGCTTGGAGGAAAGAAGTTGGAAGGAGTGAAGAGTAAGTGAGCCCTGGAGCAAAAATTTGAGACTGGAGCTGGGCAAGGTGTGCACACCTGAAGTCCCAGTTACTTGGGAAGCCAAGGCAGGGGCATTGCTTGAGTGCACAAGTTCAGAACCAGCCTGGACAACACAGCAAGACCCTACCTCAACGAAGCGATTCTGGGACACTCTAGGTCTGGGCTGGCTGGACAAGCAGTCGTCCTATCTGTCTCCCTTCACCAGCCCCCACAGGACCACACTTCATTGTTCCGAGGGGACAATGTCCACCGAGCGCTGGGAGCGACTCCATCTGCTCTGAAAGGCCTAACGAGCACCTCCTTTCCTAGCTGGTGTTTTCATTCCAGTTGTTAACTGGACTGAAAAGGCTGAAGAAAGCGGAGGCCCCCCGATGGCTCTGCCCTGGAGAGGAAGAATGGGCCTGTCACTCAAGCTCTGATTCCCAGCCTAAACTAAAGGGAGAAAAGTTCAGAATCTAGAATCTTAGAGGTAAAAGTGACGTCAAAAAACACCTCATTCCTCACATTTCAAGACCAAGATACAAACCTACTGTGGCTGCAGGAGGAGCTGGGACTAGAACCTAAACCACATCTCCCATGCAAGGGATCTCTCCACTCACCAAGCACTGAGTACGGCACTCAGACTCTGAGCACAGTACTCGCAGCACCTCACACTAGACTGCTAGTGCAGTCCTCCATCAGGGTGAGGCCACCACCCTTCAAAAGCACGTGTCCAGATCGCTGTAGGGAGTGACTCCTCCGAACCCAGCGAGAAACATCACTTGGGGGATGGTGGGCATGAGGATGGCTGTGCTAAAAGCATCAAAGGAAGATGTCCTGGTCTGAACAGGTCGCTTCTGTGGAGGAAAGCAGAATACGGGAGGGAGAGAAATTGGAAGGGAGACAGGGTAGGCCAGGAGAACATGGAAGTTGGTGTCAGAAGTCTCCAAAAGCCACACTTCCATCTCCATGCCACTCTGTCTCCCCACTCAAACCAGTCCTCACTATCACCAGGCCACCACCGGAGTGCAAATGAGACCAGGAAATGACCACTACCCAATACCTCCTTTCCCTGAGGCTGGGTTAGGAGCCCCTTAGGCACCCACAGTACTTAGTGCAGGTCTCTGTTGCTGCTTTCCCACAACACGATCACTCCATAACTGAGTGTCCACAATTCTATAACCCTTACCTGCACCACCATGCTGGGCTCCTAGAAGGCAGTGGCCGTGTCCTGTCTATCTTGTTAACTCCAGCACAATGACCAGGATGTGGGAATAGCCCACTAACTTTGCCTGAGGAAAAGCCCTCATTCACCATCACCTCCTCTGAGAGCTGATCTGGACAGGAACCCCTAGTGCGGCCTCACTGGGCCTCCCCGAAGCTGGCCTGCAGCACCCAGGTGGCGCTCATCAGGGACCATCAACCACCATAACAAAGTGCCTGAACACTAGGTTACAACCCTCGCTCCAGGCCACCGACTGCGTCCTCTGGTGCTTCCTTCTCAGCACCTATCATCGGGCTTAGAAGCCACAGGAATGTAATACAAGTTTGCAGTATGGAGGAACACATGAATGAATGACACCAAGGCTGCCACAAGAAATGCTGACCGAGCAGGCAATCTTCATCTCAGACACCCGCCAACGTCTCCAGGAAACACAGGGATGAGCCCCCAGAGCCAAGCCCCAGCCCTTCCCCAGCCCCTGCTACCAGGAATGACGAAATGCCACCTATATTCAGGAACAAAGACCTGAGTGAACCCTCCTTCAAGCCTTGTAGCTAGAGGGCACCTGTTGCTAAAATGGCAGCTGGTAAGCATTCTGTTTTTCCAAAACAACAACAGCAAAATCAATCTACTGCAGGAAGCAGTATCACAATGACAATAAGAAATCATGGGGCTAAATATGTAGCAGGAAGAAATTCAGAATTTTAGCAGAGAGAGAAGGAAGGAGCTGCTAGAGCCTGAGGGGGGAAACCTGAAGTGTTGATTGGAAATTGCTCAGCCTGCAGGGGGAGGGGGGCCGGGGGAGAGGGAGAGAGAACAGGGAGGGGGAGGGTGGGACAGGGAGGGAGAGGCAGGACCATGTGGCTTTCTTCTTGGCTCTCTGTCTCATTTTTAATCCGTCTTTTCCTTTCTCCCTCCCTTTCTACCACCCCCTCAAGAGAGAATTCATTGATTGGGCTAGACTAAAATCTTCTACCTTTCCTCACATGGTTTCTCTGTGAGGAATGAGTCTGATTCCAACTCATCCTCCCCTGCTCTTCTCTCCTCGACCCCCCTCCCCAGCCGCCATCGTTAGCTCCTCTCCTTGGCTCAGGCTGAGAGACAGCTTGTCCTTGGGCACTTCTGACACCAGCGAAGGAGGAGAGGGTGCCCGGGGTGACCAGTGGCTCGGAAGGAGCAACCCTCCCTGCAGAGCAAAGCAGCCCCAGCCATCTGACTGCAGAGGTGGCCTGATAGGAACCTGTTGCCTGCTGCCCGGTAGGAGCAGCCTCTCCAGGTGCGGAGGGCAGAAGGCACAGGCATCACCTCCTCATGCACAAATTGAACAAACCCCTCCACCCACCCAGGAAGGCAGAAGGGGAGAGTGCAACAGGAACGGCCGAGGTTCCGGTGGGAAAACTGCAGTCTAGTTCCAATGACCCCTGTGCTGGGTGCATGCTGCTTCCCTGGGCCTCCTTTTCTAGAACCAAGAGAGCTGAACTAGATTTCTTGGGGCCCTGCCACTGGAAGGAGACCACAAGAAACGGATAGCCATCTAGAGAGGCCAGATGTGCTGCTCCCATCCCCTGCACAGCCCCAGAGTGCATCTCAGGAGCAGGTCTGGAAAAGCTCCTCTGGCTCAGGACCCCTCCCCAGATGCCTGGCTGACTTCGGGGAGTTGCCGGTACAGGCTGCAGGTCTAAGCGCACCTGGAAGATGATAACTGAGAAGAGACAAATTAAGGAAGCGGAATCATGAGGGTGGCAGTGGAAACGCTGGGAGGCCAGGGGAGGGGGAGGCATGGATCAGCCAAACCCTGAAATTAGAGATGATTCATATTTGAATAACGTGGGAGGGATGAACTCAGAGCAGCCAAGATAAGATGCTAGCTCTGCTAAGGGTACCCTCTCCAGCTGAAACCCAGGGGTGCAAGAGCAATGTTAGAGGCCTTTCATTTGAAAGAGAAGAAAATTGTAGGCAATCAATAATCTTATTCTGCAACAAGAGAAATGAGCATTTGCCTTTCTTCTTAAATGTATTTTACCGTCCTTCAGGCTCGCCTGGGCTATCTTAACCTCGTTCCCCTTTCCAAGTGACGTGATTTTCGTTTCCAGACCTGGTGGCAACTCAGAGGGGCAAAACTACTTCCTGTTTGTGCTGTTTTCCCCTTTCCTCTCTGCCCCTCATTGTCCCCACCCTGTCTTGTCACCTTTCTGACACCTTGCTGTTTTCTCTATCACTCTGTCCCCACTGGGTTTTGAACAGATCCCAGCCCAAGCCACCCCACCCTCATTAGGGCAGTTTTGGCCATCTCTTAGGGCTGGTCACTCCCTAGGCTACTCGTCCCTTGGGGGTAGGACATAGTGTTGTTAGCTGCCAACAGGAGCCTTTCCCAGCCCCGGAAGAATGGGAAGAAAGTTCACAAAAAGGAGAAGAGGACACAAGGATCCAGGGGGACTCCAGCGATGGATGGGGAGAAGGCCAGGGCCTCAGGACCTCTCTGCAAAGTATCTTTATTGAGTGTGTGTGGGGGGGAGAGGAGTCCATTATTAGAAAGGGTCTTTTTCTTTTACCACGGAACCACTCCCCAAATGATACCAGTGACAGAGCCAGGCCCAAACTCCACGACCAATCAGGCCTGGGTCCCCAATCCTCCCCAATCCTCCTCATTTGAGCCCTGAAGCCCAGGGAGCCACAGAGCATGCCCTGGGTCTTCCTCCTTCTCTAAGAAAGGAATTGGGGAGATACTCCCCTACCTGTCCCCCCCCCCAAAAAAAAATCATTCCTTTTTAAAGAATGAGCCTCCTCCGAGCCTTGGTTTTTTCAGCCAGGGTTTTCCCAGGATTCGGCATTACAAACTCAGGCTGAGACCAGGAAGAACTGCGGTATGGAGACAGGAACGCATGAAGAACAGAAGCCCAGAGCCAATGAGTCAAACGTGGGGCTTCTCCCCTGCCCCCCCATCACACACACACACACACACACACACACACACACACACACACACACACACGGCCCCTCCCCCACCTACCACCAGCCCGCTAAGCGGCTTCAACATGGTCACTAAGGAGGAAGCCCAGGGTGGGTGAGAACCGCACCGCTGTGGGAATACACGTAAAGTTCTTCATCTCCGCGGAAACGATTCTTACCTGTTAGCCAGAAGACAGCGATCCACCCCAGCACGACCCTGTCCATTTCCCCCAACTTCCCATGCAGGTCAGGCACGGGAAAGTAAGAGCGGCCGGAAAGAGGGGTCCGACGACGTGCGGCACAGGCGGCACAGGCGTCCCTGGATGGCTGGCTGTTCGCGCCGAAGAACCGGCGGTGCAGGAGAGCGGGGCTGGGCGCGCAGGAGAGCGGGGCTGAGAGCGTAGAGGAGCCGGCTGGGCGCGCAGGAGAGCGGGGCTGGGCGCGCAGGAGAGCTGGGATGACCACGCAGGAGAGCCGGGGTGGTCACGCAGCAGAGCCGGCTGGGCGCGCTGGAGAGCCGGGCTGGGAACGTGGGAGACCGGGCTGGCTGCGACGCGGGGCTGGTGGCGCCGGAGAGCCCGGCGGACACAAGCGCTGCCGCGGGCGGGCTGTGCGCGGCGCTCGGCGGCGCCTTCCCTGCAGCCGCGGCGACCTGCACGCCCAGCAGCGAGCGCGGGGGCGCCGCCCGCCAGAGCTGCCGCGTGGGGGAGCTCGGCCGTCGCCCGCGCCTCCCCGCCTGCCGCGCGGCTGCCAAAGTTTCCCGATCACGTGCCGCCCCCGCGGCCCGGGGTCAGCCCAGAGCCGCAGAGGCACCCGGACAGCCAGCGAAGGGGAGGCGCTGGGAAGCAGGAGCGACCCTCGGGTTTCCCCCAGCTGAGGCAGCGAGCGGAAACCCCGCAAGAACGTGGGCCGGAGACTCAGCAGCGCGCTTTCTGTGCATGGGCGACGAGGCTGGAGAACCTGTGGGGACTTGGCAGATATTAGGCTGCAGGTCCGGTAGACAGGAGGTTTGCTTTCCCTGGGCCCCCACCCCTGAGTCTGGCTCTCTTTTTGGCAATGCAAGGAACCAGAAGATGCTGCAGAATTGAAAAAGGTAGGCGGGAATCCCGCCTCACAACTTTTCCCTGTTAAAGAATAAGAGCATACGGCCTTTAACAGAAAACAGGCAAAACTAGAATGAAATAAACATTTATGACTGACATCTGTCCAGTATGTTTTGCAGGGCATGCTCATTGGATTTGTCACTTGTGTAGGAAAGGAGTCACAGGGTGTTGAGACAGAACTAAGGAATATATGTTTGGCTTACCAAATATGTGTGGTCTCTCCTAGGTGCTAAGAACCAAGGATCCGAGAATAAGACAGACTTCTGCCTTTAGGGAACCTCATCTTGGGTTCAAGAGAGGAGAAATTCAGACCATTAGGGTCATAATAATACATATTCATTGTAAAATCCAGCAAATGTGGTCATAGAGACACAGGGAAACTTCCTGGGGAACAGGAAGGAAGGAGCCAGTTGGTCTTGAGGGGGTGAGGATCACCATAAGGAGAGATAACACCTGCACAGTCTGCATGTGCAGAATGGGCAAGATCTGGGACGGTCAGAGATTGGTGGTGGAAAGATGTCGTGTGGGGGGCATTATGGGCAGACAACACAGAAAGGTCTAAAATAGTGGCCCGGCTTGAGAAAAGTTCCCAACTCCACACCTCAGGATGATCACATCTGAAAGCAGCGGTGACTTGAGCACATAGGAAACCAGGAGACCCTGAGTGGGGGTCTTCCATGGCTGCCTGGCTTTTGAGCTCCCTTCACATTTTTGAGCAAGTCCAACTCCAGGAGCTGAAAGTCCAGAGCAGCTCCCGACTGCTCCAGCCAGAAGGCAGGTCCTTGACCCAGGCAGGTCAAGCCTGGCCTCTGGGTCACAGCTCTTTGAATATGGAGCAGGTCATCAGGAGGCAGGACAGTGTGACTATCTGTTTTGCTGGCCTCTCTGGGTTCCAGACTATCTTCTGCATCTGGATCTCCAGCTTTCCTGGCTGGAGCCTCCTAGTTCTTTTCACGAACTCTCTCCCTCTGTTTTATTTTTGCCAAGATGATTTCTGATGCACACCACTAAGAAACCTGAATAACATGCTGTGTGAGAGAAATTTAACAACAATTTTCTTTCATATGTGAAAAAAAAGTATATAGAAACAAAGGAGGTACCTAACATTTGTGAGTTTCTTTTTTTTTTTTTTTTTGAGAGAGAGCGAGCGAGAGAGAGAGAGAGAATTTTTAAAATACATGTTTTAGTTTTCAGCGGACACAACATCTTTGTTTGTATGTGGTGCTGAGGATTGAACCCGGGCTGCACACATGCCAGGCGAGCGCGCTACCCTTGAGCCACATCCCCAGGCCATTGTGAGTTTCTTATTAGATTCTAGGCATAGAATCTCCATGTTCTACAAGATTTCTCATTTAATCCTAATACGGACACTTAGGCCTTGTGAGTATAAGTAACTCCTCTGAGGTCAGGTAGCTAGTAAAAGACAGCACTCGCATTTGAACTTAGGTCATCCGACTCCAAAGTGATCAAGTCTGCACCATAAAAGGGTTTGAAGACACCAGAGGTTTGAGATGAGGCAGTGTTTGTATCACCTTCTGCCATTTACTGCTGTATGTATGTGCATACCTGGTATGCCAAAGTGTTTGAATAATGTTCAGTATCTGAGCACACTTAACAATGGCATTTTTATACACAGTTTGGAAACAAAAACAGGTTTCTACAGGTGAAAACGGGAAATGGACTGAGTGAAGAGACCCAGGATGTGCCAGTGAAGTGGAAAGTGAAGGCCCTCAGAAGTGAGCTTTGCATGTGTGCTCAGAGTACGTGCCTGTGCATACTTCCAGGGGAGGCAAGCAGTGTGCTGAAGAGCTCAGCCAGAGGGAATCACAGAAGACAGGCACCTTGTCTACCATTCCAGGAGCTGGAAGTCGGCGTAGCATCCTACATGCCTACTTTATACCCAAAGAGCTACAGGTGGTCTATCCTGAGTCTTCCTGCATGAGTGGGGCTGCAAGTCATCCCCTAAATTAGTGTGTGCCCCTCCCAAATGCACATTATTACCAAAATGATGGAGGTAACAAGCTTTAAGGGTTTAAGGGTATACCTACTGATTCAAAGCATGCAGCCTAAGGTAGGGAGCTGGGAGGAGGGTGGGGCAATATTATTTTGCCATATTGATGGAGGGTAGTAGAGTGTGACACCCAGAATCCCGTGTTCTTCCAAGTGTGGTTTTTGAATTTCCAACACCAGAATCACGTTATCAGGCCCACTTAGAAGTCAAATTCCCAGGCTTTACTATAACTGATGAGATCTGATATGCCAGACAGGCCTGGAAATCTGCCTTCCCCAAGTGCTTTTGATGCACATTAATGTTTAAGAAGCAATGTCTAACCTCTTGGGAAGCTGTGGAATTAATGTTTTCAAATGTACCAACCCTCTGGCTAAGCTCCAGTTGTCCATTTGTCCTTGCCACATAGGACAGGACCCTAAATAGAGAGTGGCTCATCTTGACACTTTCTCCTGCAACTGGAAACCAACATGTCAGAACAAGTCCTATGTGGGACCAGACCAGAATTCCCAGGAAGCCACAGCTAGAGTTGTGTCTGGTGGGGAGGCAGGTGGGCTAACAGGCTGCTCCCTCAAAACTGTACATTTTAGAACAGAATTGGGACACAGGGAAAGGGAAGTGAACCAGTGCAAGGAGACATGCTGGTAGCTGGTAGCAACCACATAGTTATAAATACAATGCCACTGAATCCTTTAAAACACAGTCTTCTTGCAGACACAGGCATGCACGCACACGAATCCTGCTAACACAGGTCTTTATAAAGCACACGCATAGAATCACATTTCCACTGCTCCTCTCCAATCTTGTGTTCCAGGAGGAATACAGGCAGTGTGCCTCAAGAACAGATGCCATGCTTCTCATCTAAGTTGGGTTCATCTTTCCTTCCTTGTGCTACTTCCCATCCCCCAAACCTTCAAAACCATCCTCAATTATAAGGTTAAAGAAACTAAATTAAACAAAAGAAATTTAAAAATGGAGGCTCTATGCTGAAAATGGAAACATTTTTTATTAATCTGGAAGCCCTTTCATGTTGAGGAAAAAAATTGTTTCGTTTTTTAAAAAGCAAATATAAAGTGCATGATGCCACCCCATCCCCAAAATATGAACTGGCAAGAACAGTGGTGAGTATATAATAAGTAAAAGACTAGAGAACATGCTGAGAAGTCGGCTTGCGGCAGATCTAATCCAAGAGCCGGCTGCAGTCCAACTGCAGCAGGGCTGGATGCTGGGTGGGTGCTGGGCTGGGTACTTCTGTGTTCCATCCTGAGGCCAGACGCCGCCCCCCCCCAGCAGTGGGATAGCCTCGCCTGCCTCAGCTCTCCCCAAGAGTCCATCGAAGGATAGTGTGAAGAAAAAAAGAGTAGAACATAAAAGAATATTTACAATATGGACTCAAATGTCAAAAAGTGCATTTAAAAGAGACAAAGGAACAATAAAAGAGTAACAATAGCCATCTCTGGGTAAGACCGTCACCAATTTACATTTTCTTCTTTATGATTTCTATGTACTGTACTATGTTCTGTTGCCTAAGTTCATTGCTGGTCAGAAGATAGGCTTCTGCAAAATTGACTGAGTCTCTAGGACGACCCCGGAGGAAGGAGAGAAGCAGGGAGAAGGGGGACAGGTGTTTGTCAGGTCTGTATTTTCAGCCGCCCAAAAAGCCCCCAGATGTACACCTGCTCTCCTGATGTTTCAATTGTGCTCAGTTAATCAGGTTAATTGTGAGCAGTGGGCCCGGGGAGCCCTTACCAAAGGAGAGTTCCAACTGTAATCTCTCTGTAATTTGAGCAAGAGATGAAGTGCGGCTGCTTCCTTTAGGAGCCCTGTTTTCCCCTTTGCTTCTGTTTTTGTTTAGATGTGAGCATCTTCTGGAGACCTGAATAGCATTAATGGCCCCCAAAATGAGCAGCAGAGCAATTCTGATTCCAATGGGCAAGCCGGGCTCTAGGTCCAAGGGACCATGCTGGAGTTGTGAGGGGGGACTCTCTCACACGTGTTGGTGCAGTACCCCTCCCCCAGTTCGGGGTGCCCTACACATGGAGAGAATCATCATAAATTTCTTTAATTACAAACTATTCCAGGTTATTCACCTTCCTTTTCCTCATCTTTCTGTTGCCTAAGTTCATCCATTTTCCACACACATAAGTGTCCATTATATCTAGAAATTCAAGACAGGCATTCAAAGGTGAATGAACTACATCCTCCTACTCAAAGAGCTAACAATCAAGTTGTATCCATACGCATGGGGAAGGGCAAACACGAGGCCTTTCAATATGATGTGTGACAGGGTCTGGTAGGACATGTACCAGATGTAATGTAGAAACAAGAGATGGAGAGGGATCGATTACCCATCAATAGTGCTGGTCAGAGACATCTTCACGTAAAGGTGACCCTGAGAAAGGGACAAGGAGGTCCCACAGAGGTGCAAGGAACAGGCAAGTGAGAGCAGGACCTGCTGCCTGGAGCTGGGGTCCACAAGGCGCAGAGCCGGTCATGAGCTGGGCAGGTAGGCTGGGGACCCACAGGGGAG